TAATTTATATGCATACGCCAATTTATTATATAATAGTAACTGATTTCTTAGTTATTTATATATATATATATAATTTTATTATTTTATAATATGCAGAAAAATATAAAATAAATAATAAATATAAAATACTTATTGTGCATAAAGTGCAGATCTTAACCTAAGTATGTATCTCTTTAATTATTTTAAATCTTAAGTATTTTCTAAATCCCAGGTGAAAACAAAGAAACCAAATGAGAATAAAATTCAAAATCAATATTTATATCGTGTAATAACCAAAATAAAAAAAACACAACAAGAAAAAAAATTGAAGATAAATAGGATTGACACGTGAACGTAAACTTCTCATAACCATAATTAATTGTAAATTGTTAAATCATGATATAAAACTGAGTTAATTTTTAATTTGTTAATTTTTAAAAAATTTAATTTTTTAAATCATTATGGTTATGTTAAATTATAACTATAATTAATTTTAAATCGTCTATTTGTATTTGAAAAACTTAAAATATTGTTTTTAAAAATAATTTAAAATTTAACTTATTTTTTATAAAATTATTTAAAATAAGAAACAATTTGTAAAAAATATAATATTCTAATATTAGTAGACAAATAAATAAATTATATTAAACTTTATATATTTTAAATACAAATATTTTACCAACTACTTTTTAAGAAAGCATTAGGAAACTTGCTAATACTCTACCAATCAAGCATAGTGACACTCCGTTTATTTTCTATCACTCGAACATTGAAAAGTGAAAAGATATATGAAATCGGGTCCATTAAATCCTAAGTTTTGATCTACAGTTTTAATTACAATTGTTTCTGATTCGACGTATAGATAATTATATAAAAATTTCAAAATTCTAAAATTTTAAATACATATAAAAATAATCATAGGCAAATTTTAAAATTTTCAATACTAAAATTTTATATTTTAATTACATATATTCACCATGCGCAAGACACATATCTTATCCTAGTTTTAAAACACACATTAGGTGATCTGAATATTCGCCTATATAAAAGCCATACCACTCTCTCCATTTTCTCCACACAACATCACAAGCTTGATAAAGAGAGATAACTTTCTAAGAGATATTCCCTCCGTTTCAAAAAGATGAACATTCTAGAAATAATATTTATTTCAAAAAGATATATTTTTATATTTTCAATTATAATTTAATGAAAAATTGTAGATTCCAGAAAAAAATAATTGTGTTTCTTAAAATTTTATTGGTTAAAAAATATAGGGATTTGTTATATATAATAAATGATGCATTGAACTTTATGTTTTTCTTAATATTTTATGATCAAAATTTTATCTCTTAATATGTGTGAAAAAACTAAAACGTGTAACTTTTTGAAACTGAGGGAGTATCTCTTAATTACAGACACATATATGCATAAAAAAAATTCATTTGATTCCAGTGTTCTAAACATCAGTATATATAGTACTTAGACTTCTTTCAAATTATTAAATATGACTTAAACGAAATGATTTTTCTAAAAAAGATTTATTTTTTTGAAAAAAAATCAGTTTAGACATTCAAAATTGGATCTTCACCTACAAATTTTTTTTTTTTTGGGGGGGGGGGATGGTGGAGGGTTAAATGTTAAATTGTATATATATATAGTTCTACATCTATAATTTTATTTGTTAACATTAAATATCAATTAACACAGAAATTTTATTCTTTCACTATTTGAAATTTTGAATTAGCTTGATGTTAATTTGGATTTGGATCGGCTGATAATCTTTCTGTTTTTCTGCTGAACAGAACATTAAAAGTCTAAAAAGAAAGCATGTTACATACCACAAAGACAATAAAACAAAAATTAAATTACAGTCAAAATGACAAGTAAAAAGATACTTGTCATTTTATTTCAGTGTTCAAATCGATCTATATAATGCTGTGAGGTCTTTCTAATTAGTAAATTGGACCTAAACGAAATGATTTTTGAAGAACGAACTTTTAAAAATTTGGTCTAGTCGTTAAAAAACGGTGTAAATCAATAAACTCATTCATATGAATTTAACTAACATCTAATAATTTCTTGGACATTTTTTTTAACGACAACTGTTTCTTTATTACTAGTGTTGTACCGGCGCTACGCGCCGGATTCATATATGTTATTATAAAAGAAGTTGCGATTTATTTTGTGGCCTTGGTGAAGAGATTATATTTAGAAATTTGATGTTGTAAGTATGTTGAAGACAATGATCTTTTCTGATTATTAGTGGAGTAGCATAAGTGGTTGTTATTAATCGAAACAAATAAAGGTAGAGTAAAAATTTGATAGACTTTACAAAGTTAATTTAGTAAATACTTAAACATAAAGTAAAGTTCATGTTTGTAAATGGAAAATGTAAATAGTTGTGTTTGTTTTGTGATTATGTTGTTTCAAGGAAGATAATATACCGTCCTCTTAAAATAATAACAATCCTAAACTGATCATTTATATCTTATACACAAAATAGTAACAATCCTAAACTGATCGTTTACATCTTAAACGCCACCATTCTCGTGACCGTTAAAATCAAGTCCCGTGAGCATATATAGATAATCAGAGATACAAAAGGCGAACTTAAACCCTAATGCTTCAAACATAGCTTTCATATGCTCAATGTCCTCTGCCATTGGTCCACCTTCAGGTGCGGTGTTTTCAGAGAACGTTCTTGTCCGGAACATAAGTTTCTTGATAGCATTGCCATAGTAGTGTATCAAAGAAATCTGATCGGATATCCAAAGTACTTGAACCTCTTAATCTTATTCCAGCAGCGCTCGGATTTTGATAGTGTGTGTTCCTAGTCAAGGATATCAAAGAAATATTTTCCTTCTTTGAGGTTTCCTCTGCACAACATTACTAAACCCCAAAGATACATACCCTTATCGTATTTTCCATAAGCAGATTGGCACATGTGAGGTTATTGAGTGCTTTGATTGATTTGTGGTGGAAGAAGTACTGATTTATTCCCTCACTATCAAGATGAGCTTCAGCTGATAGGTGTCCGATATGGGGGGGAGGGGGGCCTGGTGTGCGTGGTAGATATTTATCTTGTAGCCAAGGCTGCCGTGGTTCAGATACTGGTGGTATAAAGATTTAAGAGTAGGAATAAGTACATAATTTTTTTTACAAAAGAGTAAGTTGTCAAAGTCATAAAGAATTAGTTTACGTCTCCTTTGGACCAATTTTTTTTTCTTTTTATGACTTCTTTTGGTTACATATGATGATGATGCGGTGGAGTGTTCAGAAACACTAAGATTTTTGGAGATCTCCCGTGGTTGCTTTGCCATTAAATTCAACTGGCGTCTTCACCATTATTTCTGAAAATCGTAATGGTTGAGTAATTAGGAATCAAGAGGTTGCATCAGAACTGTGTAGTGAAAGAATGTAGGAGATACGTAACTACTGGCTTTTGCAATTACACTGCATTTACAGTGTGAGCTAATCATTCAGTTGGGAGGCNGCTTTGCCATTAAATTCAACTGGCGTCTTCACCATTATTTCTGAAAATCGTAATGGTTGAGTAATTAGGAATCAAGAGGTTGCATCAGAACTGTGTAGTGAAAGAATGTAGGAGATACGTAACTACTGGCTTTTGCAATTACACTGCATTTACAGTGTGAGCTAATCATTCAGTTGGGAGGCGTGTAGGCACCCTGCAATGATAAACTTTAATTTGTAAGGTTATAGCTTCTTAAATCCAATTTTTTTTGGTTAATTTTTAGCAGTTTGTTATTTATAAACTTGTCTTCTAAGCGTATAGGATATGTCAATATAGGTTATATAAGCTCTGAAATGTGTCTAATTTTTATGAGATGTGCAGGTGTTCATAATTTTCTGTAATGGTAACTTCTTAATTTTATTATTTTGTGTTAATTAATTATTATCAGTTTGTTACTTATAAATTTCTCATCTAAAACCTTGTATATGTGGCAATCATTTTTTTGAACAGATTCTTATATATGTGGCAATCATAAACCAAAGTGATATAAGCTCCGACCTTTGTTTAAACAAAGTGATATAAGCTTTGCTCTTTGTTTATTTTTTAGAAGTTGTGCAAGTGTTCATTAGCTCTGTAGTTTGTGTAATCTTAAATGAATTATGAAAGTGTTCATAATTTTCTATGATGGTATCTTCATAATTCTATTAACTTGTGTTAATTATTATCATTTGTTACTTTAAATTGTGTACATTAAAACGTTGAAGATGTTGCAATATATGTAATACAAACTATGCACCTTGTTTAGTTATAAGTTGTGCAAGTGTTAATTATTTTATATGAAATATAAGGATGCATGAGAACAAACTTTACAAAAAAGTAAAAAAAAAAACTTTACAAAAAGATGACCGCCGGTTTGATATCTGAAACCTAACGTAAGAAGACGATTTAACAGACTGAAAATGTGTCTAAATCTAAAAAAAAATCTGCAGGTTGGGTAATACATAAAATATTCTAGAACTGGCCATTATATTTTGAAGAGCCCAAACCCATTTTTTCAGAAACTAAAAAAATCAGGATATGACAAACCGAGATGAAAATTAATTTTGTCCGGTTTGATTTCAATTAGTAAATGCTGACATGTCTTTTTTTGCCCCATATTCTAGTGCTGATGTGGAAGTTTGAGAAGTGAGAAAACTCAACTTTATTGTATAAGATGAAGAATAAATGTCATCCTCGTGGAGGATATGAACAAGAGAGACAGGGACATAATATTATTTATGAGACTTGTTATATATATTCACTAACATAATATTTGTTGCATGTTACATATAATTACTGGTAATCCTTTTGTCTTGACACTTGACAGTTAGTAAGATCAATCATTTCATAATAATTTTATTTTAAAATATGTTAAGTCCTTCACATCATCACATGAACAGTTCATCGAACTTATAATGTCATTTCGTTGCCACTCTTGGAATTGTAATAAAAACACATTAGCCGATTTGAATCTTCGCCTATAAAAACCATAACTCTCTCCATTTTCTCCACACAACACCACAAGCTTGATAAAGAGAGATAACTTTCTAAGAGAAATCTCTTAAAGCTATCACTTCTTCATCAATGGCTTACTCTAAGATTGCTCTTCTCCTTGTTTTGAATGTCATCTTCTTCACTTTTGTCAGCTCGACTCCCGCCCCTTACCCCAAACCCACTTGTAAAGATGCTCTGAAACTTAAGGTATGTGCCAACGTGTTGAATTTGGTTAAGGTTTCTCTACCACAAAAGGCCGAATGCTGCAGCCTTGTCCAAGGTCTAGTTAATCTCGATGCGGGAGTCTGTCTCTGCACCACCTTGAAGGCTAATGTCCTTGGCATTATTAATCTTCGTGTTCCTATTTCACTCAGTGTTCTCTTTAACCAGTGTCGTACCAAGGTTCCATCTGGTTTCCAATGTGCTTAGAGATAGCACATTTTAAATCGATGTTCTAAATTATCACTAAAAATATGATTCTTGTTTCAATATTCTTGTTTTATTCTACCATTATCTTCCCTTTAATCTATTGTTTGTAATTTGTTACATGTTTTATCAATGAAATAAAGTGTTATCTTCTTTTTTTAAAGAGCATATTATTTATTGCTCTTGATTAATGGATGCTTATAGTTTCTAAGTTTTATATTCAACATCACACAATATCGTGGCATTTTTAAATTTGACGAAGCACATGCAATATCGTGGTAGAGTTCTGAGAGAAAGCTCGGGTGCTGGAAAATTAGTTTGCTCCCATATGTTCCGTACTTTATTACATGTAAAAAGAGTATGACAAATAGTCTCTGCAACATTACCATAAACAAGACATGTTGGGTTTACCGGAATACCTCAAGTAGTCCATAATTGTTTTTCAATTGGAGTAAGAGAGTGTCCGTGAGGTTGTTCAAAATCGACCGAAACATCCAACAACTTATACTCACTACGAGTTGAATATGAACCATTTGATGTATAACCCCATCTTATCGAATCATCTACTTGCAATGGTGGTTTGAGAAATAATATCCTCTGCACATCCTGTGGTGTAAAAGTCTGGTATAATAAATTAGTATCCCATTGATTCGATCCCTGTATAAATAAGTCCAAAACTTTTAACGCTAAATTTCTCGAGTTATTCTCACGATACAATGGAGGCCGAGGAATGGTGTCGATTATCCAATTTTCCGCCCAAACATTAGTATCCGCCCCATTACCAATCTGTCGATACAAACCCTTTTTTAATAATTCTCTACCATGCATGATATTCCTCCATGCGAAAGACGGACGTGTCTCCATTTCACATTCCAAAAAATTGCCATTTTAAAAATATTTGACTTTTAGAATTCGAGCCACCAGAGAATCCGGGTTGTCCCAAATTCTCCAAGTTTGTTTCCCGAGTAAAGCCTTATTAAAACGTCCAATGTCATGGAATCTTATACCCCCTTGTTCCTTAGGTTTACATAAATTTTCCCAAGAAACCCATGGGATCTTTTTCTTTTTATCTCCACTACTCCACCAAAACTCTATTATCGCACTCATAAGTCATTCACAAAGACCTTTTGGTAAACGAAAAACAGACATTGCATATATTGGGAGAGGTAAAGCAACAGATTTTATAAACACTTCCTTGGCCCCCATTGATAAGGTTTTAGAATACCTCCCTTGTAACCGTCCCTCTAATTTTTATTTGATAAAACTTAAGAGATCTAAGAATATGATTAATCCAAAATTCTTATGGTGAGGTTTTTAGCGGAGGTTAATATTTCTTAACTTTTAATTAAAAATTTAAGAATCAGTTCTTAAATAAAAATTTTAAAAACCGAATCTTAGTTTTTAGTTAAAAATTAAGAAACACTTTCTTAACTTTTCACTGTACTTAATATATCTACTGGTGTTTTCACTGTGCTTTTTTTCCATGGGGCAATAATACATTTTTTCGTTTATGTTACTATTTTGAAGTCTTCTTAACAAATTATTTTTCTAAGTTTTAGGTGATGATTGTTTGTTATTATTGAAATATTTTTAATTTGTATAAATTATAGATATTTTATGATTTATATGTTTAGTATAACATAATTTTATCAAGAATGTAATAATAAAAATATAAATTTTTAAAAAATCATTCTATTTTGATAATTTTTAGTGGTGTCTTTACTGTTAATTTTATTATTTTAAAATATCGTATTAGTCATTTTTTCAAAAAAAAACAGCAAACCCATAAACAAAAAAATTCAAAATCTTAAAAAATAAAAATAGTTGAAAATAATGAGAAAACTAGAAAACCTGAAAAGCAAAATCTAAAAATAAAAATAAAAAATATAAAAAAGGTTTAAAAAAACCTAGTTCAAAAACTTTACACCTTAGTGTTCTACTCAACTTCAAGAAATTGTATTTTCTACTTTTGTTGTAATTTTTATTGTTAGTTTTATCCGCTACTTGTAATCATGATCTATGTTAAAAATGATATAAAATTTAAACTTTTACACAAAAAGATAACATGTTACATAACTACAAAACAATAGTAAAAAAGGAATTACAGTCACATATAAGTACAAATATACTTGTCATTTTATATAGATTATTTATTAATAGTATAAGCTATGAGCCTTGTATATTATTGACTAATTTAATAGTTCTTGCATGTTACATGTAGCGACTAATTATCCTTGTCTTGACAGTTTGTAATATCAATCAGTTCTTCATAATTATACTTTCAAATATATTAATCCTTCACATGAACAGTTCATCGAACTTACAATGTCATTTCCTTGACACTCGTCAAATTTTAATTAAACACACATTAGCCGATCTGAATATCACCACTCTCTCCATTTTCTCCACACAACATCACAAGCTTGATAAAGAGAGATAACTTTCTAAGAGATATCTCTTAATTACAGTCACATATATGCATAAAAAAATATAATTTTCATTGTATTCCAGTGTTCTAAACATCAGTATATATAGTACTTAGACTTCTTTCAAATTATTAAATATGACTTAAACGAAATGATTTTTCAAAAAAAGATTTTTTTTAAAGAAAATCAGTTTAGACATTCAAAATTGGACGTTTACCTACAATTTTTTCTTTTTTTTTGGGGGGGGGGGGTGGAGGGTTAAATGTTAAATTGTATATATAAAGTTCTACAACTATAATTTTATTGGTTAACATTAAATATCAATTAACATTGAAATTTATTCTTTCACTATTTGAATTAGCTTCATATTAATTTGGATTTGGATTGGCTGATAATTTTTCTGTTTTTCTGTTGAACAGAACATTAAAAGTCTAAGAAGAAAGCATGTTACATACCACAAAGACAATAAACAAAAACTGAATTACAGTCAAAATGACAAGTAAAAAGATACTTGTCATTATATTTCAGTGTTCAAAACGATCTATATAATGCTGTGAGGTCTTTCTAATTAGTAAATTGGATCTAAACAAAAAATTTTTGAAGAACGAACTTCTTAAAATTTGGTTTAGTCGTAAAAAAAACGGTGTAAATCAATACACTCATTCATATGAACTTAACTAACATCTAATAATTTCTTGGACATTTTTTTTAACGACAACTGTTTCTTTATTATGAAGGATAAATGTGATCCTCGTGGAGGATATGAACAAGAGAGACAGGAACATAATATTATTTATGAGACTTGTTATATATATTCACTAACATAATATTTGTTGCATGTTACATGTAATTACTGGTGATCCTTGGACCTTCTGTCTTAACACTTGACAGTTTGTAAGATCAATCATTTCATAATAATTTTATTTTAAAATATGTTAAGTCCTTCACATTATCACATGAACAGTTCATCGAACTTATAATGTCATTTCGTTGCTACTCGTGGAATTGTAATTAAAAACACATTAGCCGATCTGAATTTTCGCCTATTAAAACCATACCACTCTCTCCATTTTTTCCACACAACACCACAAGCTTGATAAAGAGAGATAACTTTCTAAGACAAATCTCTTAAAGCTATCACTCCTTCCTTCATCAATGGCTTACTCTAAGATTGCTCTTCTACTTGTTTTGAATGTTATCTTCTTCACTTTTGTCAGCTCAACTTCTACCCCTCACCCTAAACCCACTTGTAAAGATGCTCTGAAACTCAAGGTATGTGCCAACGTGTTGAATTTGGTTAAGGTTTCTCTACCACAAAAGGCCGAATGCTGCAGCCTTGTCCAAGGTCTAGTTAATCTCGATGCGGGAGTCTGTCTCTGCACCACCTTGAAGGCTAATGTCCTTGGCATTATTAATCTTCGTGTTCCTATTTCACTCAGTGTTCTCCTTAACCAGTGCCGTACCAAGGTTCCATCTGGTTTCAAATGTGCTTAGAGATAGCACATTTTTAAATCAATGTTCTAAATTATCACTAAAAAATTGATTCTTGTTTCCATTTCTTGTTTTATTCTACCATTATCTTCCCTTTATTGTTTGTAATTTGTTACATGTTTGTCAATGAAATAAAGTGTTATCTTTTTTTTTAAAGAGCATATAATTTATTGTTCTTGATTAATTGATGCTTACAGTCTCTAAGGTTTGTATTCAACATCACACAATATCGTGGCACTTTTAAATTTGACGAAGCACATGCAATAAAACTGAGCTTAGAAGAATGTTTGTCAAATTGAATTTTTATTAGCACAGATTTAATCATTATGGTATACTGTGTCATTGTTGCCAGATACAAACAATCTAAAGCAAATTAATTAAGGAGCATAGTTTTATTCAATGAATACTTGAATAGGCACCCAAACCAGCAAATATTTAAATTGTCACCACCAAGAAGTATTCTGTTTATTTAGCTAAATTTGGTACCATAAGTCGTCCCATATTCGATATTTATATGAAATTATAAAAGAACAAGACATGAATACGAAAAGGCAAAACATAAAAAGAAGTTAACATATCAATGCAATAAGGGAAAAAATTTCAGAGCAGTCAAACAACCTAGAGAGTTCATACTCGAATCAGCTACGTACCTAATTCTATTAAAACGGATACCGGTTCGACCGATAATCGGATTCACAGAAAAGATCAACGATTCAACGTACCAACATGGTGCTGTCAAACGGACCAATCTACGTTTATGTAACCTAACCCATAAGGGATCTGTCACAGGTTGGGGTTCATATACTCATAGTCATACATATACTCATGCTCACTTCGCAGGTTAAGCGGTTTTGTGAGCCATTTGTTGGTAGCCACTGAGATGATGATGTATATGCTATATCATATCTACGATCTGAATAACGATTTAAAATAAAGGTGATTTACAAAGAAAAGTAATGAATGAGTTTTTCTTGTTTAGAGGACATGCATTAGACTGAAAAAAGTTTATTTTATAAAAGATAAACGATAAAAATTATAGTTCATAAAAAAAACGATAAAAATTATCATAAAACAATAGAACACAGCAAGTATATTTTACAACTTATATAATTTTTAGTCAGTTATGATACGCTTTTTAATTATTACCCAATATTTCTTTCCAAAAATTAAAGAAGTTAGATATTGTTTGACCCAAAATCGGGTCTATTAACTCGAGGTTCGTTAAAGAACTATACAA